CTTGAAACACGAACGTAAAGAACAAACCAGCAATTTTTTCTATAATACCAATTCATTAATCCCGCTTTCTGAATATATTTCAATTTCAACTTAAAGCGGAACTAATCTTCCAAATAGCAATGATCTTGATTTAATCTATAATCGTTTCATTTTTTTTTTACATCGAGTAGGAAGTCTTCAAAATTCGTGTACACGAATTAATAATAAAAAAAACCGTTCATCAGCATTAATTATGTAAATGTTTAAAGAGGCGAAGACCAATCTCTCATTTCTCATTCCACAGTCTTCGCCGTTCCTCACCCACAGACGAAACCCGTGAATCAACTTTCGAATTCTCCGCTCTTTCGATCATGCCATTTTTTCTTACCTTCACGAAACGATCTGAAGAGCAAACATACAAAAAAATGATGAGCAATTAACGTTCGAATCATCAAGTTTTTTCATTTCTGTTATTTCTGTTTAGTAGTGAGAGAAAAACAATTTATTGTTGATCTTTTCAGTTGCAAATTGTTTGCGCAAACTTTGACTCACTTCTTTTTTCTTGTTACAATTGCTTGATTTGTAGCCAGTCGATCATTCAAAGAATTCGAAACATCTTATCTATATTTTTTTTTTGCAAAAGATGACACGAAATTTTCGAAATGTCGGATTTTTCCATACACACACGCCGCGAAATTGTGGAAAATTTCCGCAGCCTTGGAAACATTCTAAATTTACTATTTATTTCAATTTAAAAATTATCGTTTTAAGTTTTACAATTACTTTTTCCTTATAACCTTCAGACTTTCCGTCCATTGTCGTTAATTTTCACCTAAAACCAAAATCTTTTTTTTGGAAATATTTATGTACCGAAATGATGTTTTCACTGCACTTAACTTAGCTGAAGGTCAATCGAGTATGTAAATGAAATGCACTTGATCTCAGAATAAAAACAAATTTAGTTAAGAAATTTTTTTAAGAATTAAAGAAATGCGCGTTAAAACGTAACATATGATACAAAATAATAAAAACTACAAGGTGGAAGCAATAAAATAATTGATAAACGCGAAACAAAAGTTTTAAAGTTTACTCGTGCGTTTTACTTAATTCGCTTTTATTGCAAACGAAATGGCGGACGTTGAAAAAAAAATATTTATATAATACTTAGATAATGTCCTGCGTTGTTTCCGTTGCCAAGGCGATGATAATTCTAGGGCTCAGATGTTGAACAAACAAGAGGAAACAAAAGGTGTTTATTACCATAGCAACTAAGATTATTTATTAAGTGGATTTTTTTTTGTTTTTGCTGGTAGCAATTGTTCTAAGTTTGCTTAGGATTTGTGCAAATTTAGATAAGATTATCGTTGCTTCCGGACGATTCTCAAACAAGAATCAAATGCGTCTTCTCAAGCGTTGCCCACTTATTCCAGTCACGATTTCTATCAAACTTCTTTTTTTTTGATTTTCTGTATTCGTATCTTTAACTCCGGTAATTAAAAGGTTTCTGCTTGATTAGTTTGCGCAACATCATCTTATTAGAGTGGAGAGACTCCCCGGAACGAGAAGACGTTTTCTTCTAATTTTCAGCTTCAGTTTTTGCATGCATGCTTATTTAGTGCTTATTTTTGGACGAGGAAATAGTTAAAATCGTTTTACTGCTTCCGACCCAAATTCAATTTGGGACTTGCGTATTTATCGATGGATCTGGGAGAAGTGGATTAGTCATGTATTGTTGGTTAAGGAAATATGGAGAGAAGTGAAAAGAGCGTGCCGGTAGGAAATGGTATGATGACCTTTTCGCGTTGTCTTCGCTATTTAGGGCAGCCGGCATTCCTTTCTACGCCCTTGAAGCAATTTTCCATTTGCAGGAAGAATAAAATTGTTTGTAACTGTGCAGAGAGTGCGTCATGCGCATACACAATTACACATATAAAAGAATGAGTAATAACAAGAAGAGAGTTTTAACTTCTATATTGTTACCTGAAAGTATCCAAGAATGATGAGACAACAAAGTATTAACTAAGTTGTCTACTTGCAATATGAAAGATGGAAGTCACAAAGTTGTCTACCCACAAGTATTTTGTATAAATAATTGTAATGTGAAAAGTAAAAGTTACTTCCTACACCATAAACTCTACTTGATTTAACTGTCAAATTGTAACGCCATCTAGTATTAACCTCAAATTGGTTGTCATCAGAAAAACTGAGCTGTCAGATGAACTAAACATGTGACCAACTTAAATAAATTTACGTCATCGATTAGAGGAATTATTTTTTGTTAAGGTATATATTATAAATGTCAATTCGTCGTTAGATTTGTCTACCCACAAGTATTTTGTATAAATAATTGTAATGTGAAAAGTAAAAGTTACTTCCTACACTATAAACCCTACTTGAGACATAAATATAGCAACAATTTAACTGTCAAATTACAACGCCATCTAGTATTAACCTCAAATTGGTTGTCATCAGAAAAACTGAGCTGTCAGATGAATTGCACATGTGACCAACTTAAATAAATTTACGTCATCTATTAGGGGAATTATTTTTTTGTTAAGGTATATATTATAAATGTCAATTCGTCATTAGATTTGTCTACCCACAAGTATTTTGTATAAATAATTGTAATATGAAAAGTAAAAGTTATTTCTTACACCATAAACCCTACTTGATACATAAATATAGCAACAATTTAACTGTCAAATTGCAACGCCATCTAGTATTAACCTCAAATTGGTTGTCATCAGAAAAACTTAGCTGTCAGATGAATTACACATGTGACCAACTTAAATAAAGTTGCGTCATCGATTAGAGGAATTATTTTTTGTTAAGGTATATATTATAAATGTCAATACGTCATTGGATTTGTCTACCCACAAGTATTTTGTATAAATAATTGTAATGTGAAAAGTAAAAGTTACTTCCTACACCATAAACCCTACTTGATACATAAATATAGCAGCAATTTAACTGTCAAATTGCAACGCCATCTAGTATTAACCTGGAATTGGTTGTCATCAAAAAAACTGAGCTGTCAGATGAATTGCACATGTGACCAACTTAAATACATTTACGTCATCGATTAGAGGAAATTAAGGTATATATTATAAATGTCAATTCGTCATTGGATTTGTCTACTCACAAGTATTTTGTATAAATAATTGTAATGTGAAAAGTAAAAGTTACTTCCTACACCATAAACCCTACTTGATACATAAATATAG